TGTACATTGATGTAACGTGATTCGAAGTATGTTTTCGCAACGTTGCAATTCCTTTGTAAAAATAATAATAATGATAAAAGCGGTTAAAAGATAAAATTGGCACATAAGTTCGTATTTGTATAAAATCAGATAATCAAGCCGAATATAACAGTTGAGCGACCGTGCTAGAACCACGGAACTCGGGAATGCCTAACACCTTCTCCCGGGTTAACAGAATTCCTTACCCGGATTTCTGGTACGCAGACTGTAATATGAAGTCATTCATGTCCTCGATTCGGGATCAAAATTGGTGACTTGGGACACCCTAAACCTCCCAAGTGGCGACTCTGAAATAAATAAACAAATCCCATTTCGATTGTCCTTTAATTGGAAAAACTCTCTTGCACCCTCTCAGATGCGGAAAAAGGAGGTGTGACACTAATAATATCCCTCGATTGTAATGTAAAATTTTCTTGAAATGTCCAGCAAAATGATGGTTAATCTTAATGTCGTCAAAAATCGACTTCAAGTAAACTTCAATATCCAAAACCTGTTGAAGAAATAAGAAATTTCAGTTAGAAAAACTATTTATAATAGTGTAGACGGAATGTTATTACAGTAGGTATGGAAATTGACAAAAAGAACAATAAGTTTAGTAGGTATGGAAGTGAATAATTTGGGTGATAGAGACCTCTCTAGAAATAGACCCATAGCTTAGAGAATGACTAAAAGATGTCAAAAAAAGTAACAGTAGCAGATGAACTACCATTCACCAGCCGAAGAGACACAAAATAGAGAATTCTATTTTCCCAATTCACTAAAACACTCTTTGTATGGAAATTTGTCTTCACTTTCCTCAACAAGATAGAAAAATGAAAGAACATTCTCTTAATCAACTAAAACAGCATCTTAGTCCTGTACATATATATATATATATACATACACAGATCTTGAAACTATATTAAGGCTTCTAGTCCTTCTTAATCATATCTCAGTTCTATTTGTTGAATTCAATAACTTTTCTTTTCCTTCATTTGATCTTGGGAGTTGCAGCAATGGCAGAAACTTAACTTGCTGGGGATTTGTCACTGCTGCTAATGAAACTCTTAACCTCACACCTGATCAGCCACAGAACAAATCCAATAAAGCTGGAAGAGCCTTGTGTTAGTCAGTCCATATAGAAATGAACAAGAAATTGATGGAAACCATGTTGCTATTGTGACTACAAATATGGAGAGTCATGTGGCAGTTAAAACATAGAACATGCACCAGCAGTAACTAAATCATCAACTGGTGCACCAGCAGCACCAACAACATCAACAACTGGTGCACCAGCAGTAGCTACATCAGTAGAACATGCACAATGTTGATTCAAATAGAGGAATTTAAAACTAAGAAAGATTCCCTGTTTATATGCCTTATCTTTTGCAAAAATCAAGAAACTACCTATCTTTACACTTTTAGTACAATTAGGACTTCTCTAAAGCAGGAAGTATCAGTAGCCTACTTAATATTTCGTTGGTCAAAATTCTCTTATTACTTTTGCTACCTAGTTAACCACTTGTTGTCGATGTTCTCTCCATACTTTCGGTGCCTAGTTATTGCACCCGCTTTCAAAATCCTCGTCATATTTAATGCAGAATAACTTTGTCTACAAATATATGACTGGCTTCTTACAGATATAGATATGAGGTCTAAATTAAATGTAAACCGAGAGGCAAATAAGAGAGATTAGCTCCCCTTCCACTTGCAGTACACACCATACTGATTAACTTCAATATTTAACATGTAATTTCAGAAGGGAATGTTATAACTACCAAGGTTAAGCAATCACATCAAATTGCCAGACATAAATGCTGGTATTGCCATATGAATGTCAAGTCTCAGTCAACAAGAATACCAGGCGAGCAGACAAGAGCAATGACCTCCTTTTTTTGGTTCTTTTTGCATATAGCATGAAAATCGTTATCATACATATTTTAAATGCACTCTTCTCAAGCACAGTAGAAAAGAAGACTCAAAACTAAAACTTTGAATAGTAAAAGGTAATCAAGAATGTTAGTATAACAAAGGGTCAAAGTCAACATGAAGATACATTTGCTGTACCTTACACCCTCTCTACTATGTTATTGTATAACTGTATTTTTATCATCGCACATAGGGAGCACTTAATTTCATTTGCATTTTAGGACCAATTGTAAAGGGGAGGAGTCCTTCCACCATAGTTCTATAGTTGACCTAAATTTGATTACACTTTATTTTTATAAACCATTTTGATATATATAAAATGAACACTAAGCTCAATGCTTAGTGTAATTGCAAAAAATAAGAAAAAAAAAAAAAAAAAAAAAAAAAATAGTGAAGCACCAAGAATGGAACGAAAAGAGGAATCAAAGAAGAAATTGGAATATTCCATCCAGTTACCTTAACAGTTAGCTGCCCACATGTGAATTAACTTTTCTTCCTTAATGCGATCCCACGATGATACTCCCAACAGACATATATTACGGTCACGAACTATTTTTTCCAAGTGCCTCGAAAATAGATTGCTATTCTTTCCAACCGTTCGATTATTGCAAAATGTTACTTTTAGCTTCTCCCCAACTTCAAGTGATGCAACTTCTTTGCACTTGTTACTTCCTCGAACCTTTTTTACCTTTCCAGCAGTACATGAACCTACATTTGCTTAATTTATAATGTTAGAAAATATTGTAAAAATGATAAACTTGTGATCAAAAAGATTTGAGAAACCATACTTGTGTGAATTGTTTGGGTGGATTGCATAACTTGATCAATAGTAAGGAGAAAATGAAATATCAGTTTGCATAGATCTAAGCTCTCGCCCTCCTTTCCCTAGAGTACCAGTTGCAATAAATCATAATACTAAATATTTGGCATCAAATTAATTCAACAACAACAAATCTATAGAGAAGTGGCCATGCCTTTCACATTATAGTACTGCAATTACATATTGCATTATTCAGTTAATAAATTTCTCATAATTAAAAGTTTTGATGCATACAAAGTATCGGATAAAAGGATCATCCACTAAATATTTGATTTAGCAAAAGTGGATGGAAAGCTAGAGAATAAATTCCTATTAGTATGCAGTCAAAATATATTAAGTAATAAGCTGTCAAAATATTTTTTAGGTAAGGAACAATTCCAAGAAAATTTATTACAAACCAAAAGGACAGAAACCAAACAGAGTTCTTAGCCCTTTATACCGTTCTGACCAACTAATAGATTAACCAAATATACAACGCATAGAAGCCAAAAGTCAGCACAAAGACTACCACTACTAAAACCATATAGCAAACGCAAGTAGTGGCCCCATCTTCCTTCCCCTATTTCACATGAATATATCTTCAAACAGTATAAGGAAAAAAGCTTCTGAAATGCACAGAAGGAAGTGGTTGGGCAGAAAATTGAATAATTCACTACAGGCATCCATTTTTCAGTCAACAACAGGCCTATCTCTGAACTACATCACAGCCCATCAATTACAACCAGAGGAAGCAACTCCAAGTGATAGGAAAGCCAGCATATATACATAAATGTGAGTTATTCTACAAATCACAAAAGCCACTCTTGAAAGAACCCAAGAGTAATAAGCTGTCAAAACAAAAGAACTTTTCCATTCTTTAATGAAAAAACAAATTGAAAATTTCACAAACAATGCTCAGTTTTGCCCATATATATATATATATATATATCAGTTAGTCACAACCTCTCTTATCATCAGAAAACATACACTTGACATCCCTTGTGAGCTGCAAATTTTATAATAATACACCAAAAGTTGTTGTGGCTTATCATCTACTCAATCCAGACATGCAAATCAATAATCCATCATTTTCTGTATTTAACACTGACTCCAGCTTGAATTTCAATAACCAGTTTCCTGAACTAAACCGAGATTTATTATTTAGTGAAGAACTATATTTTCCACTCCATCAAAATATTCTTTTTCAATCAAAATAAAACTTACATTATAACTAGAATCAAAACAGAACCTATACTATAATGCTCAAAATATTGACCTTATTTTGAAGTAAGTAGTTCACGACAGAACAAATGGCATTGACAACGAAGTGCTTCGACGAGCAAGTCCATCACTCCAACTAGAGTGCTATTGACTAAATAAATTCAGTGGATGAACTCAATGGAATGTTTGCATTAGAAAAATTGTTTGCCATGGAAAATACTTTAACAAAGCTAATTTACATCACTGTTTCTTCTTCATCTAATTTTTAAAAATATTTGATTAGACTTACCAAAGGTAATAAGTTGACTATATAATTTAAACAACCCATAACAATCAGAGTAAGGAAACTGAACTAGAGCACCTAATAGTATGAAAAAAAATCGAACCAACTCATCACCTCATATGAAAAATCACAAGACATCCTCATGACCGTTCAAGAAAAGTCTCCAGAAGAATTGTATAATGCAAATCGCAAAGGATAAAACTATCGCATAGACGAAACTCTACAAGAAAAAATAAATTATATTGCAGTCCTAATACGAGCAACCAATACCTATTTTTGGTGAAATTTTAGTTTTGGGGTGTTTGACATTCTCTGATGTCCGATGATTTTATCAGCAACCAAACGGCCCCTCTTTTGTACAAATTTCTCCTCCTTGACCTATGTCCCCCAATTTTAAACCCAATAATCTCACTTTTATCACTCACATCAGTATTCAAAACAATCAATTACAGAAAACAACTAAAGAAACAAAAAATTGTAGAACCCTTTTTTCAATTTCTGATTCAATCTGGAAAAACAAGCACGGAGAAGAAAGAATAAACAGAACAAATTAAAGAAAACAAAATTAAACTCACTCTTGATTAGGCGGATAATCTAATGGTATAATTTGTGTGAAGTCGCTTGGAGAGAGATGAATTTTCGACACCAACCTAGCTTCTGAGTTCTTTGCAACTTTCTGAATTTTGATGAGGATTAGCAGCGCCTGTTAGGGATCTTGATGGCCTACTTTTTAGTTTTGCCTCTTAGGGATGAAGTTTAGGGATTTTGTGAAAGTATTTTGGAGGGATTTAAGGTGAAAGTGAATTTGGAGGGATTACCGTGAAATTTTGGAGTATTCCTTCTTTTTTTTTTACTTTAGTTTTCGTTAGATTCGCGCCCTATCCCGCTCAAAACAATTATTAGAGACTAGATATTAATATTTTTTTGGACCACAATAAGTCTGGTCATGTATTTAGAAAATAAATTTGCCTTTTAAAGACCAAAAAAATTCTCATTCCTATAAGTACACTTTTAGGGACCATATTTAAAACTTGTCGTTAAATGTTGGTCCCTAATAACTTGCGGCGCCCGGATGAATAGAGTATCGGGAGCTATGGGCCTCCTCTAAAATTAACTCTCGGAGTCCATCCACATTAGGCACACAAACTCGACCCTGCAATCTCAAAACTCCATCATCACCTAAGGTAAAACTGCCCATACTGGCTGACTTCCTACTCAAAGCATCGGCCACCACATTGGCATTTCCTGGATGATATAAGATGGTGATATCATAGTCTTTCAACAACTCCAACCACCTTCTCTGCCTCAAATTCAACTCCTTTTGCTTGAACAAATACTGCAGACTCTTGTGATCTGTGAACACCTCATATGCCACGCCATACAGATAATGCCTCCAAATCTTCAATGGGTGAACAATGGCTGCCAACTCCAAATCATGAACCGGATAGTTCTTCTCATGAATCTTCAACTGTCGCAAAGCATAGGCAATGACCTTGCCATCCTGCATCAATACCGCACCAAGTCCAATACGAGATGCATCACAATAAACTATATAAGGCCCTGAACCTGTGGGCAAAACCACCGTAGTCAAAGCTGTCATGAGCTTCTGAAAGCTCGCCTCACACTCGTCCGACTACCTGAACTGGGCACCCTTCTAGGTCAATCTGGTCATCGGGGCTGCGATAGATGAAAACCCCTCCACAAACCGATGATAGTAGCCTGCCAATCCCAAGAAACTCCGGATCTTTGTAGCTGATGCTGGTCTAGGCCAGTTCTTGACTGCCTCAATCTTCCTCGGATCCACCTGAATACCCTTTGCTGACACAACATGACCCAAGAATGCAACTGTGCTCAACCAGAACTTGCATTTCGAAAATTTAGCATACAACTGACTATCCCTCAGAGTTTGAAGAACCACTCTAAGGTGCTGCTCGTGCTCCTCCCGGCTGCGGGAATATATCAAGATATCATCAATGAAGACTATCACGAATGAATCCAAGTAAGTACTGAACACTCGGTTCATCAAATTCATAAAAGCTACTGGGGCATTTGTCAACCCGAATGACATCACCAAGAACTCATAATGCTCGTACCGAGTGCGGAAAGCTGTCTTAGGGACATCGGATGCCCTAATCCTCAACTGTTGGTAGATCTCAAGTCAATCTTCGAAAATACCTTAGCACCCTGAAGCTGATCAAACAAATCATCAATCCTCGGCAATGGATACTTATTCTTGATTGTAACCTTGTTCAACTGCATAATCAATACACATTCTCATAGATCCATCCTTCTTCTTAATAAACAACACCGACGTACCCCAAGGTGAAACACTGGGTCTAATGAAACCCTTCTCAAGCAAGTCTTGTAACTGCTCTTTCAACTCTTTCAACTCAGGCAAGGCCATACGATACGGCCGGATAGAAATGGGCTGAGTGCCCGAAGCCAAATCTATGCAGAAGTCAATATCCCTGTCGGTTGGCATACCTGGCAGGTCTGAAGGAAATACCTCAGGGAACTCATGAACAACAGGCACAAAATCAATAGAAGGAACATCAACACTAGAATCACGAACATATGCCAAATAGCCTAAACACCCATTCTCGACCATATGTTGAGCCTTCACATAAGAGATAACACTACGGGTAGAATGACCAGGAGTCCCTCTCCACTCTAAACAAGGTAAACCCGGCAAGGCTAAGGTCACAATCTTGGCATGACAGTCCAAGATAGCGTGGTAAGGTGATAACCAGTCCATCCCCAATATGACGTCGAAATCAACCATGTCCAGAAGGAGCAAATCTACACGAGTCTCAAGGCCCCAAATCACAACTATACATGAACGATGGACTCGATCTACCACAATAGAATCACCCACTGGTGTAGACACATAAATAGGAGCACTCAAAGAATCACTAGGCATGATCAGATACGGTGCAAAATAAGATGACACATAGGAGTATGTAGACCCTGAATCAAATAACACGGAAACATCCCTACCACAAACCAGAACCGTACCTGTGATAACTGCATCGGAAGCCTCAGCCTCGGGCCTGGCTGGAAGAGCATAACGTCGGGGCTGGGGCCCACCATCTTGGACTAAATCTCTGGGATGGCCTGCTGCTAGCTGACCTCTACTTCTAGCAGCCTGAGCTCCACCTCTAATACCTCTACCTCGACCTCTAGCACCGCTACCCCCACCTCTAATTGGTTGGGCGGGTTGTGGAACACTCAGTGCCTGAACCATGGCACGAGAACTCTGATGCTGAGAGTTACTCGGTGCCCGAGGGCAAAACCTAGCGATGTGACCCATATCACCACAAGTGTAACAAGCCCTCGGCTGCTGAGACTGCTGACCCTGCAGACCTGAATGACCACCCCGAAAACTCTGAAGCGACGGTACACTGATAGGAGCTGGAGGTGCATTGCAGGACTGCTGATCAGAATACTGCATCTAAGGATCACGACCACTTGAAGCACCATGAGAAACCTGGAGTGCTGACTGAAAAGGCCTAGGAAGATGGCCTCTACCATATGAATCCCTACCTCCAGACGAGGTACCACTAAACCGGCCTGAATGACAAGGCCTCTTGTCAGACCTCTGACCACCTCCCTGTGATAGAACCATCTCAACTCTCCAGGCCACATTGGCCGCCTCCTGAAAAGATATCTCACTCCCAGTCTCCCTAGCCATATGAAGATGAATCGGCTGAATAAGTCCATCAATAAACCTTCACACCCTATCTCTCTCTCGGTGGGAAGTATGTAAGAGCATGACGAGCCAAGTCGATGAATCTAGTCTCATATTGGGTAACGGTCATAGAACCCTGCTGGAGACGCTCAAACTGCCTCCGATAGGCCTCTCTCTGAGTGATGGGGAGAAACTTCTCCAGAATAACTGAGTAAACTGCTCCCAAGTCAAAGCTGGCGATCCGACTGGTCTAGCCAAACAATAATCTCTCCACCAAGTCTTGGTGGATCCAGACAAGCGAAAAGTAGCAAAATCGACCCCATTGGTCTCAACTATCCCCATGTTCCTGAGAACCTCATGACAACTATCTAGATAATCCTGGGGATCCTCAGAAGATGCGCCGCTGAAAGTGGTAGTGAAGAGCTTGGTGAACCTGTCCAATCTCCACAAAGCATCGGCAGACATGGCTGCTCCATCACCGGTTTGAGCTACCACACTCGGCTAAACTGCTCCAACTGGCTGAACTGCTAGAGTCTGAAACTGGGGAGCTACCTGCTCCGGAGTACGAGTAGCAGGAGTCTGGGCTCCTCCTCTAGCCTAAGAGACAGCTGGTGCTACAGGGAGCAAACCTACCCGGGTGACATTCTCTATAAGGCTCACTAGATAGACCAGAGCATCCTGGAGAACTGGGGTAGCAATAACCCCTCTGGGACCTGAGTTGGGCCCACCGGAACTGCTGGGGTCGGAACCTCATCATCAAAGTCAACCTGAGGCTCCGCTGCTGGTGCTGCTGCTCTGGGCTGAGCTCTGCCCCTACTCGGCCTCTAGAATGGCCTCAGCCTCGCCCTCTGCCCCTCGTAGGAGCTGCTACTGAGGGCACGGGCTGCTCGTCAGTGGATGAGGAAGCGCGTGTTCTCGCCATCTGCAAAAAAATATAGTAGAATTTCAATTAGCATTGAGAAACCAAACCGCACGACAGGAAAGAATAAATGTGAAGTGTTTCCTAACTCTGTAGCCTATGGGGATAAATACAGACGTCTCCGTACCGATCCCTCAGACTCTACAAAGCTTGTCTGTGAACTGTGAGACCCATGTAACCTAGAGCTCTGATACCAACTTGTCACGACCCGGATTTCCCACCCTCAGGAGTCGTGATGACGCCTACTATTGTGAGCTAGGAAAGCCAATTATTGAACAGATAACCTTTTTACCCTTTTACTACTTTTTAACAATTTTAAAGCAATAACGTGTAAACAGCGGAAATTTAAGGTAAGCGGAAGAAAAGCAATAAAATATCTAAATATATGTCTAGTACAACAGTTTGAACCTCAACCTCCCGGAACTAGTGTCACAGTACCACAGGCGATCTAAGATTTTACTACATACAAAGTTTGAAATAAAAGGTACATTGTTTCTGAATTTAAGGGAATGAAACAGGGATAAAAGGGGTAAAGGGAGACGCTAGGGCCTTCGGACGCATGCAGGTCTACCTTGGATCTCCGCGGACTGAAGGTAGCCACCCAAACTACGGTCCAAAAGCTGCTCCGGGATCTGCACATAGTGCAGAGTGTAGTATTAGCACAACCGACCCCATGTGCTAGTAAGTTCCTAGCCTAACCTCGGCGAAGTAGTGATGAGGCTAGGACCAGAATACCAAACAACCTGTGCAATTCAACTATATACAGCGGAAAAGAAGAACATAAATAAACAGTCAAATATGGGAGGGGTAGCATGCTGTGGGGGAGATACCAATTCAGAATAGAAAGACAACAGGTAATTGAAAGAAATAATATATCTCGAATATCAATAGAGAACCAGAAATCAATAAGTGCACGGCATCACCCTTCGTGCTTTTACTCTCATCCTCACCAAGCAATCAAGTAATGAAAATGTACACGACATCACCCTTCGTGATTTTACTCTCGTCTTCACCATATAAATAATATAATCGGCACGGAATGGTACATCATGCAGCACGACATCACCCTTTATACTTTACACTCTTTCTTCACAAATCATACACGTCATCACCACTCGTGCTTTAACACTCTATTACCAAAACAATGCACGACATCACCCTTCGTGCTTTAACTCTCTTCCTCGCCCAAACAACAATCACAAACAATAGGGCATGGAAATAAATGAAGTTACAACAAGAATCTCGGCAAGAGAACAA